AAAACATTAAATTTTTTAACACACTACTTTCATGCAAAAATACAGAGAAAAGTGGTACATGCTTATATTCTTGGATAATACTACACAATACACGACTACACATAGTAACATCTGTGTGATATTATTTATTAATCATGTCGTTCTCGCTGACATGCTTATTCCATCAGCATCTTAATAATAAATTGGCCTTTCCTACAAAAGCGTTTTGTCAACTTATACAGGATGTCCCGATGGATGCTTCTGCAAGAACTTCATCAAAAGCCTTTTGAAAATACTAATCTGTACTACTGTGCTCATTATCCTCCTGATAATAAATCTGCTTTCCTTTAGCAGATGACGTCTGTCGTCGTGTGCTAAAACCGGTGCAGTCTGTACTTTTGTTTTTAATCTGTATGTCCCTGCATCTGACAGATTTTCTGCCTTTTAAGTCCGCTCGAAATTCGGCGTCTTTCTATCCGTCAGCACGTATATTGTATTGCTGTATAACGACACCGACCGATGAGCAGCACTGCTCAAAGTCTTTACCAGAATTCATTTGGAACGGAAACATACCTGACTGAGACATCGCTGCGCTAGGTCGTCCATATGATGCGGCCGAAGAAGGTCTCGATGAGTAAGAACGAACGTCATTGGATCGCTGTTGCAACCTACCCCTATCGACAAAACGTGAACGGTCATTACTGCGACCTCCGCGATCAACCTGAGTTTTGTCAGCGACGGCAACCCTGAGGTCTCTGTTTTTCAGCCTCTAAAATGAGCGTAATTTTCAGACCTTTGATTCTTGTCACCTTTGCGACGGGAAACATGACAAGAGACGAGGTCAAACATTGTCACATGCAAACAACCACTGTAATTACCGGTCGATCAAGGGACAATGCAGAGATTAGGTCCTCGCGAGTATCGAATTCGACGTAACCGAATCCTTTTTGCTGCACTACGTAAATATCCTTGATCTACAAAAAAGAACCATTGGTAAAACAGCTACTCAGATAAATCAGTCATATTTTTTAAAAAAAAATTTTACGCTTGAAAAGCTTTATAAATTTCTATGCTGACTCTGAACTGAGTTCAGAAACAAGAATTCCATTCGCAAAACCGCGCACCAGCGACAAAAAATTAAATAAAAAGATATGAAAATGGAACATGAAAAAATGTCATCACTGCGCGTCACAATCAGTATAACTAGCAGAAAACCGGACCGTTTGAGAAATTTTCTTAAGCCGTCATTGCTGCTCTTACAACCGAAAAGGAAGAGTGGACTACGAATGCATAAATGAACGGCTCTGAACCCAGTGATGGCGCGAATTTAGGAAATTTAATCACAGATCAAACCCTACAGTCAACCGGCTTCAATAAAACAAACAGAAAGAAGCATAATTTAGCCTGACACCTGAAAAATATCTAAATGGTGCAATACCCGTGTTCTGCAATTCTAGTTCAGGGTTTGAGCCCTGATCGGGTTATTCGCTTTTCTTATTCCAAAGTTGATAAATGAGTAACACTCTGTAGGAAGGAAACAGGAAATTATAAACTATGCTTGTCACATAGCTACTGTCGATTCTGCTTTCTTAAACAGATCTTTCCTGGCTGATGGACATGGACATGTGCCTCACCATTAATTTCATGAAAACAGGAGCACCAGAAATGACCTTGCCATGAAAGTGTGCGGAAGACGAACATTCCAACGCATAAAAACTTTCCTTCCTTGTTTTATGTTATGTAGCTCATTCCTGCTGGTAGGTAAACTCAAGTAACCTGGCTTCAAAAACACTGGTTCGTAAGCCAGCTCATGTCATA